AAAAAAAAAAAATGGCATAGGTTTATAAGGGGGCTTGATAAAAGCTTTGGGTGACATCACAGCACGCACCAACACTCAGCACAGGCTTCAGGGTAAGTTGTGCACACGGGGAACCAGAACCTAGTAAAGGCCTTTGAACTTCTGTCATATCTCTTTATTCCCCTCTTTCTTCATTAGAGGAAAGACCCGTAGTATGGAGGTAAAAGATTTAGATTGGGGAAGAGTCTCCTCAGCCCCCTCTTGGGTCCTCTGCCAGCGTTCAAAGCCTCTGTCCGTTTATTAGCCAACCTGGTCATCCTTTCCTAAGGCAAGACCTGGGCCCTTGTCTGAGCCTGATTCTTCCTCCACCTGCCTGGCCCCTGCTCCCCCTGCCTAGTGTTTTGATGGGTTTATCTCCTTGATAGGACGACCTCCTACATTCTCGGTCCAACTGCCTTGCTCAGAGAAGGCCCCAGTACAGACTTGGCATTTGACCCTTTTCAGGCGGTATGCCTGCCGGAGTGATGCTGCCCACCACTTCGTGGCAGAAGTAGGATGCCGGGGACAGCGTGCCCTGAGAGCCTGTTGACCTAAGGTAGCACCTGCAAGCACTTGCCAAGATGACATTTCTTTTCCTAGCTGGCTCCCGCCTTGTGTAGCATTGTACCCTCATTTTATGCGTCTAAAAGCCCTTACTCTCATTTTGTAGTTAAGTTTTCAGAGCCTCACTCATTTAAGGCAATTTTGGTTTCTGTTTTATGGTAATTCCTAAACCCTTAAGTGAAACTTGTTTGAAATGTCTGTCACTCTGTTATTACAGAAACAATATAACAAGAAATACATTTTCATGTTAAGCTCTAAGTAGCAACCAGAAAAGACAAATTGTTCTCATACTTAAATATTTGAATTTGAAACTATCACAAAGAGATGGGGGAAAAAATGAGCCAATAGATAAAGGACATAGAGGATGAAGTTGGTATCCAACCAATAGGAGTTTCAGGAAAATAAAAAAGAGGACAGACAAGTCAGTGGAGAGGAAATTATCAAAGAAATAATACAGGAAAATTTCTCAGAGGTGAAGGCCACAAGATCTCAGATTGAAAGACCTCAGAATAGCAAATGAAACTAGGCCACACCTAGGAACAATACTATGAAATAGTGAATCAGTAAGGATAAAGAGAGTACCTTAAAAGCTTCCCCTTGGGGTGGTGCCATGGCTCAAAGGAGTAAGGCAC